TTGTATGGTTACATACAGTTGCCTCCTGCAGACCCCCAGCCTCATGCAGTGCACAGACTGGACAATGCACAGCAGGATAGGAGTCATGCAGACCTGTGCTTTATTTTTGGCCATATTCTATTTGCAGTTACCACAGGATAAATATGAATTTATGCTGCTGTTCAACTGACCACATCTAAGCCCTCTGTAGAGCAGAATGTGTAATGAATGATATTGTGCAATTAAAGAACATAGTCATGCACATGAGGTAGAACTAAGACCATGTACGCAGCCTTAGTTTTGGCATTTCCTGAGCTTTAAGTGTTCCTTTCAATATAATTTTTCATATGAACACAAAGTAATGGAAGCAGCATGGCCCAGTGGATGAGGCACCAAACTGGAATTCAGTAAAGCTGCATTCTATTTATTATTCTACCACTGAGTAGCCGCAGGACCTTGGGCATGTCACGACATCTCTGCTTTGTTTCCTCAACTGCAAATTGAGGACAATAATGCTTGCCCACCTTTGCAAGTGCTTTCAGACCAATGGATGAAATTGTTATTATGTAGATGCAGTAGTCCTTTCCTGGAGAGGGGACACAGATCTTTTACAGAAGCTTTCTGCAGTGCAATTCGTTATGCAACGGGATGGGGGCATATGTAGATTCTGACATTTAAGATTACTACTACTAAACTTTGACCTTTTTCATTCATATTTCCCTCCTTGTAGTACAACAGCTTCCCAGAGCTACATAGTCACCAAAATGAAAGTTAAGTATTTACTTTATTCCTATTTATTTGCACATCTGTACTCAAGTGCACTCATAAGCACTGCATCCTCGGCAAAATGGCTCTATTAAGAGAATGGTGGACAACATCCAAATATGACAAATGATTTCAACAGCCACCTGATGTCCCAATTGCATAAATCAAGATGGAAAGTGAAGACCAGCGAATGAAGTGCCAGTAACCATAATAGCTAATCCTTCCCAAATAGCTGCTGCAACAGGCAAAAAGACAGTTTGCCAAGAGACCAGAGAGCCAAAAGTAGCCCACCATAATTCTTTGCCACACAAATACCGGGTTCAGATGATTCACAGCCATTGCGACACCATGAGACAAGCATGATTTGCCTCTTATGCAACATAGCAACCGTGCTACACTGTGTCTTGATTATCCTACTCCTCTGCCAATATCAACAAGTGGTACCAGTGTAATCTTCAAAATCTTGCTTAACAGGACAATTCACTAAATGAAAGTCACTCTAAGAAACTTCCATCTCATCCAGTGATAGGGTTTTGAAAAATAGAGTGTACAGTGCATCTCTTATTTCAATTAAGAAAACAGCAGCCAACATCTTGAAGACCAAATATGCATGCGTTAGTTCCTGAGGTCTTTCCCTGGTTTCATAAAGAACAATAGAGCCAATGTTATAGGAGAGTACTGAAAGATGGCCAAGCTGCACATGTGCCGTGTTTTACTTGCTGTCTGAACCTGTTGGTATAATATTTCCTTAAAAGTGACAAGATAAAACATCTTCTGGCAAAAGCTTGATAGAAGTCTGTAAACATTTCAGTAAAGTTCTTAGGCAGCTGCAAGAGGGGGAAAAGGTTACCCAAATTAAAGCAAGGCAGCTTGATAAAATCCCACTATTTGGAAGCAGTGTGGGGAATTAGAGCCAAAAACCCAAATGCATAGACAAGCATGTGTGCGCACACACAAATCCAACGCTTGTCCAGTTTGCAAGTAGTGAAAATATTTTAGATAAGATTTTGCAGCCTTTGTCTTCGGTAAAAAATAGGAAACAGCAGTTAAAACCTTTTTCAGTCTTCTGGAACATACTAAATATCTGAGAAGAATCTGAAAAGAGGAAACAGCAAGAGATTTATGAGGTTCTGCTTCCCATGAGGACCCATTCTTCTTTACTAGTCTGAGCTGTAAGCTGTTCTAGCCAAGAGCCTTCCCAATGCATTTGAACTACCCCTCTTGTAATAGCAATCTATCAAAATAAATATGTTGACAGAAATTACCCATCTGGTGTTCCAGCAAGAATATAGTATGCAGAAAAAGTGCCCATTTAGAATCACTCACTTTGCTTTCTCTCCACTTTTTACCAGTAATTCCAGTAGTCCTTCTGAAGCAAGAATTATATCGAATGGATTTTTCCCCAGAAAACCTTTTGTACATTACTGTAATCATGTTGCATTCCTACGTAGTAAAGAAATATGTACATTGCTAATACTCCAGACTTCTGCAGAGATCCTCTGGCATCTCATTTTCTAAAAGAATATCACACTTCAACAACCTTAACTCTGCCCTGTTTTGATGCCATGCAATAAGCATACAATTAGTGTTATCTTTTAGTGTTCTTATTCACAGATTAAACTGATTTTTTAAAAAGACAGATTTTTTTTTAGTTTTTATTGGCTATTTCCCTCCCAGTGTCCCTATAGGGCAGAGTTAAAGTTGTTTGAGTACTTTTATGTTAAGATATGAAAATACATAATTTCTTTTAAGTTGAACCTGAACTCTGAATTTCATTGTTTGTAATACTTGTTTCTTGTATAATTATATCACTATAAAATTTTAACTGAAATTACTGATATATTCACAACCTTAACTCCAATTTAATGTAATTTTTGTGGGAATTCCTGTTTTTAGAATTAAATATTTCATATATGTAGAATCCTAAAGAAGATGCTACAATGTGCTATTTAATTATTTAAAGGTATGTAGCATGAACATTACAACCTTTTTCTCCTTGAATTGTAACTTTCACGGTCTGATTTACCAGTAAACTCTGGGTCCTGCACCCCAGTCTAGAGAAGCACAAAGCAGCCAGAACATACTGGGTAGTTTCCCTAGCTCCTGACCTCCACATTCCCCACCCACTAAAACTGCACTTTTCCCACCAGTTTTGCCTGTCCTGCTCTTCCTGTTGAGTAGTTCTTATGCAACGGATCATTTTGTTTTGCTTAAGAAATGTAAGATCAGTTATGTAACCACAAGTGCTGCTTCTGCAAAAGAGTTACAGGAGGTAGGCATACAACTAAACAAAAAAGGAAGCAAACAACTCTAGGTTTGGTTTAATGGCAAACTGAAGGTTAGTTGAGACACACAGGTATCCTTCAGAAAATAGAAATTCAGGCCAAGTGAAAGAACAAGACATGGCAGGAAAAACAGAAGATGGGAATTAAGAGAGAAAGAAGGAATTTGAAGAGCAAATAGCTAAGGAGCTAATGAATGATAAAAGTACTGTAATGTATAAAAAACTGGCCGAGAGGTAGAAAACAAGGAGTAAGAATGAACCGCCTGTTTTCAGTATGGAAAAAAATCATAGTGGAGCACCCCAGAGACAGATAAAGGAAACAGTGCTGAATCTACGCATTAGTGATCCAGAAGAGGGATGAAGAGTGAGGTGGCAAAATTTCCCCAAGGATACAAAATTATTACTTAGTTGAGACTGGAGAAAATTGAGGAACTTCAGAGAGAACACACACAACTAGGCAACCAGGCAGCATTAACAACAGGTGAAATTCAGTTTTGACAAATGGAAAATAAAGCATATTGTGCTAGGTTCTAAATTAGTTGTAACTACTAACACCTGTTGGGTATTACTGTGGACAACTCAATGAAAATATCTGCTAAATGGACAGCAATTGTCAAACAGGTAAATAAAGTATATATTATATAAAGAATGAGATAGAAAGTATTGAAATCATTATATAATCAATTGTATACTTTGAATACTGTGTTAAGTTCCCAAGAGATATATAGCAAAAAAAAGAGAGCCACAGATGAGCAAAATAAATTAGACATGACAAACTTTCAGAAGAGGAGAGATTTAAAAAGTGAAATAAACTCACAAGTTTTGTAACGAGTGCTTCTTACCTCAGACGACTGAGTTGAGGAAAATGACTACTGTAGTTTCATAACAAGAAATCTGCACTTTTTTCTGAGCTCACATCCCTTGGCATCACAGCTACATTTAAGAATCTTGGCCCAGCTCCTGGGATGTCATGAAGCTGTTTTGCTCCCAACATCGCAAATGGGGCCGGAGCTCGCCTCTGCAACGCTGATCCCTGGCTGCCATATTGCGCCCTTGGGGCTGCTGGCAGCCAGTGCAACTTCAAAGCAGCCTTCAAATCTGATATATTAGGCCAGAGGACTGAACCCAGTACAGGACTCGCCCAGGACTGAGGAACATACAGGCCACCTTTTCACTCTGACCTCTCCCAAACTGCACTGGGCCATCCCCCTCAGCCATAATGGATGATCTGGGCCCTCGACTTTTCAATAGGCTAGACAGAGCATTAAAAGCTTGATTTTAATTTTTTTTTCAAATCAGATTATTAGTTAATGCCACGTTGTCAAAAGAAAAATGATAATGGTGTAACTAAGAATAGAGTGGGTGCTACAAATAATGGTTGTGTGCATTCTTGATACAATTCCAAGCGTCCAGTGGGAAAACACCAGGTATGTAGCTCTTAATCTTTATGTTATTATGCTCTGTTAAAGACCAGCTGGCCCCATTCCCATCACTACAAGTACCACATGGCATTCTTTTTTCTTCACATATCCCCCACAATAAATTATGATGTGTTAACCCCCAACTGTATTTCTAGGTGCATTATTGCTCACTTTATGACAATTCAGCCATGTCAGAGCTCAGATAGTTGAACAACTACCAAGACACAATCTTGTTTACCAAAAATTTACTGCTACAACTTTCATCTATTCATTCCTGATACCAAGCTATTTTTGATTCTTCCAATGGGCTACCAGCACTAGATAGACTACATCCTGCCTGCAAAGTGGGTGGGTTACAGTCTGAAGTGATAATAGCACCTGAGCTTTAGCTTAGACCCCAGGATGGACCAGTTAGCCTGGGCTGAAAGCACCAAACTCAGGTCCGAGGTTTGTGTGCACACACCGGAGCAGGTTAGGGGTAAGAGCCTGGGTTAATTGTGTAGTGAAGATATACCTCCAGATTAGGAAGTTAGAAGCTATTACTTTCTTACCCTGTAATTATCCATAATTACAGCCAACCATGGCTTTATTGTCTTCATCACATCTTCAAGCAAATGCTTCTCAACTGTAGACCCATCATGGAAGGTAAGATTTCCTACATGGATAGCTTTCCTCACTTCTGAGAGTGATAAAAACATTCCAAAATATTCCTGGTCAGCAGGCTCCTGTTACAAGGAAAAATTTGGGTGGGGAAAGCTGCATTAAACAAACAAAATTGTATGCACACATTTCTCAGTTTACACCTCAGTGGCTCTGCATCCGATCATGCAAAGTGCCACATAAAGGAGGAACGTGTTTACTGATGCCACAATTTCAATTTTAACTTTGAACTACTGAAGTAATTTGACATGGTTGATTGTATTCGTTTCAGATGAGGGAACACCTTACTTCCCTCCCTCCCCCCCTTTCACTTTCTTACAGAACACAGGAGAGAACCAAGAGATTTTTCAAGGCTATGAAATTGTTATGGCTGAAATAGCACAGCCATAGTCATATCTCACGGCTTTACTACAGTAAGCTACATGGAACGTTCAGAAATCCCATGCCTTTAAAAAAAAGTAGTTACCAGGCTTTTGGGGGACTGTATTGCATTATGCCCTGAACTGGCCATTTCCATAAAATATTTTTGCATGCAAGCATCTCACATTGTACCAAAACCAGCATGCACAAGAGAGAATTATAGTTTTCTCCTTTCTTGGATAGTTCCATTCCGAGCATCAACTTCTTCCCACAATCTTGAAACTAACCATCTTCACGGGTATATCAATTCAAGTACAGTATCAAGTCTGAATATCTGAAATGCCGAGAAACTGACTAGCAATTTTCAGCAGTGTGACCACATACATCAAGATCAAAACCCCTGACCCCTGCCAACTCTTGTTTATTCAAGACATTAGCCAGTGAGTCCACTGATACTCTAAAATAAGCTACAATAAAGGGGAAGCCCCCCCCCCCGCCTCTTCTTGAGCATAAAGAGAAAACTGAGGGGGAGGTCTAAACTGACTTATTACCAGATATTTTAGATGCCATACTGTTCTATTTCTGCTGTATATGGAAAGGAATTCAACTCCCATCAGAGATCATGTTCTATTACCAAACATGATCGGGCTTGAAATTGTGAAATACATGGCAGTTCTCTAACACTGCAAAGTGCATTCTACAAAAGATGGCTTACAGACCAAGTGTTTAGCTGATCAAGGCCTTACTCAGGTTAAAGTATTTAAGTGCTTAACTTTAAGCATGTGAATATTTTCTTTGAAGTCAGTGGGACAACTCATACTTTGAGCTAAGCGTGTGCTTAGGCACTAAATTACATTTAAACACACCTTTACTACATTCAGGCAATTTCCTAACCCTGACATACAGAATAAGACATTTGCTTATGTTAGACAGTAAATTTCTTTTGTTTTGGGGCTTCTGGTTATTGCAATAGTAAGTTTACCTGGCACTGCAAAAAGTTAAAGTAGTTGCTACATCCTGTAACATTCTGAGTGTAGGAAGAATTTGATTCATCACCATTCAATAGAGTATCAAATATCTGGAGGGAGACACCAAGATAAACATATGTATTTAAAGTACAAAACACAAAATCAAAACTGCTTCTTGATTAAACTTGCTCTTTATGTCATGTTCTTAATGAAGTTTAAATATGAATTTCATTCCATGTATTAATATTAGAAACCTATTTAAGTTTCCAATGTTAAAGCCACAATTATAAGAGAACAGAATCTTTTTCAGTCAATTTCAGAAATATAGTTTCATGGTTCATGAATCTAAATTTGTCCCTAAATAATCTAAATATCTTTACAGTCTACACTTTTGTCTATGTGTATTGCAAAGGGAAGTCCAAAGGTTATCCATTTGATGATGAAAAAGAATACACTGCTATTTATACAGTGCATGGGCTTGTCTGTCTCTATTTATGATTACTTGTACATTTATTTATGGCTTCTAAACATCAGTTTTACTTTTAGTTTGCTATCGATGATTTCAGATTGGAATATGGGTTACGTCTGAAAACCACTCAAATCTCATGCTGGGACAGATGCATTATACTTTCTCATTTAGTGTGTCATACATTTATCCTCCACAGACAGCACTGGCTTCCAGATGGTTTCTGGGTACAATTCAAGGTGTTTCCTTGAAATATTAAGCTCTTTATGGCTTTACCACTTTGAGCGGCTGGAATCTTCAGACCAATTGCCCCTGATTTATGTGCCCACGGTCAGAGCGTTCTCAAAGAGGCCTTCTGATTTGGAATTTGCCCCTTACCTTGATTCAACAATTTGAGTCTGTTGCCCATCTAGTCACTCAATGGTGGGTGGGATGGTGGGTTGATTGGAAAGGGTCTTTAGGTTTTGAAGCTTAAGGAGCTTTATTATTAACTCTGTGATATTATCAAAATTAAAAAGATATGACAAGAACTTTGAATAAAATAAGATCTTTTGTCTAAAAACCAGTTTAGTCCCATTAGCTAAAAAAAAGAAATTAGAACCCTAGGAATTTTGCAATCCGGATCCTTACCACATTATTCTTGAGGCTTGTTCTAACTCCCATTAAAAATCCATAGAAAGACCTTTAATACATAGCTTGATCCTTTTAATAAAAGGTTTAACCACTTCAATATGCATTCTTATGCAAAGTAAAGCTATTTTCTGTCTTAGAAGAATATACTGAAGAGTTAAATAGTTCATGTAATAAAGGCAACTACATATGCTTGAGAGAGAGAGAGAGAGAGATTATTGAAGCTAGACCCATGATAGTTCAGAGACCACTCTGCCCAACCCTCAGCCACCACCACTGACTCCCTGAAGTGGAAACTTTAATGTACACAAATGTAAAGAAACTAAGGCAAGATTCACATGTGCAGAACAAGAACTCCTGCCCCACTCCAACAGAAATGAATTTGAACTATTAATTTATAAATCATGTTGGCATCCCTCTGCTTTGTTATAAAAATAATTGTCATGTCATACTGACTAACTGTCATAAGCTTTGAATTCAAATTCATTTTAATATTTTATCAAACAAGAGTTAACCATAAGTGCTGAATTACTGTTTGCATGAAGGATACACTACAGAAGCAAAATTATTCTTGACTTTGGAAGGTTTTTTTTAAAAAATCAGGTTTGAAATCTGTACCAACTGAAAGTTATCCTTAAGAAATGCATTTCTTTGAAATGTGCCATTTTGTCATTTAACTTTTGTATTTTTCCTTCTCAAAAATTCAAGTTGGGTGGAAGTTTAATTTATTCTAGTAATGTACTGTAAACATATTTATCATTACATCTTTTACAAAATGTTCAGTCCTTCACTTTTGCTCCCACAGCCAGTCCTTCATGCTCACTCATTTTTAAAAGATCAAAGTTAAAGCTTGTTTCAACAATCAAAGACAGGCTCAAAACCAGTTTACAACATCTCACATTTCTCCCAAATTACTAGTGTCACAAATAAGGTCATTTAAGATGGCAGCCAGCAGCAACAGGCTCAAATATATATTCATGAGATGTGTTTATAACAAACATCTGCCCTGAACAAACAGGTACTGGTACTCTGAAAGCAACTGTAGTAACGGTTGTAGTAACTTGTATAGATACAATATGCAAGTGGAATATGCAGAAATGTTTCAAACATATTGAAGTGGATAGGTTAAATCTCTTCTTTCACTTTGGGAGTTGACATGTTTCTTCATTTCCACTGAGACGAAAATTAATGGGCCGGATACCCAGCTGGTGTAAATCAGCTTCGTGGCCTAATAACTTTTTACTGCAAGGTTACAAAAGCTATTGTCAAAGTTTATTTTCCCTATGACAAATACACATGCTTATGTGACACCCTGTTATTCAACATATTTAGTTCATCTGTATCATGGCATGAATACAAAATATACATGACCCTTTATCCCACAATGGAAATGGATGGTATGCAGAACCTCATAGGACCAGGTCTTTAGTGTCTAGGGGCTGGTCTACATCCAGCCGCTAGTTCAGCGGCTGGGGATCGAAGTTCTGGGTTCGACTTATCGCGTCTGGTCTGGATGCGATAAGTCAAACCAGGAAGTGTTCGCCGTCAACTGCGGTACTCCAGCTCGGCGAGAGGAGTACCGCGGAGTCAACGGGGAGCCTGCCTGCCGCGTGTGGACCGCGTCTGAACCGCGGTAAGTTCGAACTAAGGTATGTCGACTTCAGCTACGTTATTCACGTAGCTGAAGTTGCGTACCTTAGTTCGACTTGGGGGGTTAGTGTAGACCAGGCCTAGAGGTGAAATCCTGGCCCTATTGACAAAATAGAAGGGTTGTTTACTTTCAGAAGTGCTTAACAATCCCTCCCACTGAAATCAAGGGAGCTGTGGGTGTTCATCTTTAAGTGTCAGGCCACTTCTATTTACATGCCTAAATATTGATTATAGTGCTTAACTATCAATCTTAGGTACTTATATGGCCCTCGGTATTGTAGCGTCTGAGTATCCCAGGAGTAATCCACTGCCAACCTACTTACCCAACCTCTGGGGAGTTCTTTTCCCTAAAAATGTAACAATTTTCTTATTTTAATCCTATTTTGCAAACATTGTGAGAAGTGTTATCTGTATAGTAAAAGTGTCTAACCAGAAAATATCTACATCATAAATATGATGCACATTCTCCCATTATAATGCTTAAATTATAAAAAAGAAAAGTTACCTATTTAAAAAACACAACAGAGATTATAAACTCAGAAGAGTTTCTATAATGCACTTCCAATGAGTTACTTCGTGTAGAGAAAATGTCTTTGTGCTGTAATCTTGGGATACCACCACATCTTTCAACATGGGAATCCACGAGCTACTAAGCAATATTCCTTGCAGACACCAATTAACTGCATCTATGAAATGCAGCCACTATTTTTGAATATAAAAGGTTTAACAGCATGTTCAAATATATGCAGCAGCTCTCTAGACAGCATTTCTTCTAAGCTCCATGGGTAAATTAAACCTTCAGGGCATACACGCATTTAGTTAAAGAAACAAAAACAGTTAATGAAAGACAGGACTGTATAAACATATTCTAAAGCCCCTCTGTTTTAAATGAGGCCAAAACAAATTCTATGGACAGCCCTTTTCTTTCTTTTCATTCCCTCCTCCCTCTCCCCCACTCTGCCATGTTATAACGGGCACCTTCTCCAGCATCAAACTTCTGATCTTCATTATGCTTCTTTCTGACCTCTTACTCAGTTCAGATGGTTTTAATTGCTAAAGGCCAACGTGGGGGCCTCTGATACGTACTTCAAAGGCTTTCATCCACTTCTTCTGCTGGATATAAATTACTACCAGGTCAGTCTGCTGCTGGACATACTCCCTCTGCTTCTCATCCACCAAGCCAATTTGGTACAGGAATTGTGCATAGCCACCCAGCATCTACCAGACAGGCACACAAGAAAGGAAGTTGATAGGTTAGGAAAGCATGTTTTACTTTTCCAAGATCACCTTTTTAAAATTCTAAATCAGTCACTGAATTCAACTGAGTCAAATTTTAATTAAAAAAATAAAGTGATCTAGTAACTTGATGTTTGGAAACATTTGGCAAATATTAAAGGTTTAAAGCCATTAGGAAGCCACTTGGGAAACAACTACCTTTTATCTAGATAGGACTGTAATATGAGAAAAGTACTCCATTTAATTAAGTACAAAAAGAATAGAAAAAATATGTAAAGTTTACCATTTCAGGGTCACAGAAACCATCACCAATAGCAACTCCTTTGAAGTTGATCTTAACTTTGGCTTTGGAACTATGGGTATGGATGTAGTAGCCAATAGCAGGCACATACTTCCCTGCATAAGACTGGAGAGAATGGAATGGTAGGTGATTCACTTTGAAATAATAATGCTTTATTGTGTATTGCAACTTGAGTATTTCTACATTAGACAGACTAACAATATTTTATTTCGCTTTCATAGAGTTACTGCAGGTTTCCATTTTTTATTTTCTACCCCTCACTGATATGCTGCTAATTTATTCCTGATGAACACACAGTTTAAATAAATTCATTATCAAAAGTGATTTAAGACATTAAGGTTGAAATAGTCAGACACCTAAGGGGTTGGAATCACCCGTTCCCATTATTTATAATGGAAAATGCACATCCAAATCCCATAGAAATCCCACCCTAAAGTAGTTTGCCTGCCGCTGGTCAAGTTTATCCTTGGGTTGGACTGGGCTGGTAACTCAGAGGGCCATTTAAGATTGTTAATACTGATGTTTAAAGTTTTAAGGCCTGATATACACTTAAATTTTATAGGCACAGCTATATCAATCAGGGGTGTGATTTTTTTTTAAAACCAATATAGCTCTGCCAGTAAAAGCTTTAGGGTAGAGGTAGTTACACTAGTGTATCACAGTACATATGCCAGTTCAATGAAATGGCATAAGCTATACTGGTGTAAGCATTTTCATATCAATATAATTACAACCACACCACAGGATTTTCCTGGTATAACTTTACCAGCGTAGTGTAGACAAGGTCACAGATTTGCACTATTTACTGAGAGTAACATCTCACTTGGTGCCACAAGCAGGCGGTGTCTGGGAGACCTACTTTCTCTTTCAAGAAGAAACCAAGGACAAGGATTCCAGCAGAACCATTGGTCATACTCAAGCCCCATCAAGGGAGAGCCGAGCTGCTAGCCCAGTAGAGTTCATAGCATGCACAATCATACTGTGAAACTCTGCACAATCTACTGTGAGGGGCATCTCATTTTAGAGAGTCACAAATGGCTTATCTTGTAGGTGGAGCTTGGAAGAATGCCACAATTCTTTTCCTCCCAATTTGACCCCTGGATTCATCTGACAGGGAAGCATTGCCAATAGGCTCAATCATAATTAGATTAAAATAGACACCAATCATAGAGCAACTGTGAAATCTGTCTCTATCATAAACTTTGATTCCAAGTAGGGACTCAGTGACAATACCTTTAGTATATATGTTTAATAATAATTCCTGGTACTCTAACCACTCTTTCCCCTGCCCTCTCCCAGACCTTCCATCAAAAGCATCTAGATGTTCAGAATAGTGTGAGGACTCTAAATCATGTTAGACTCATCTCTAGGTTTAAATAATAATTAGCATCATTGGCTGCAAAAAAAAAAAAAAAATAGCCTTTTGCCTTCAGCTTGCTAAGACCTCATCCCTTCCTCTCAGATAAGAATCTGATCACAAATTGAGGCTGACACTGGAAGCAATGCAAAAGCAGTAGCCTTCACCTTCAGGCAAACATATCACCCATTGGCTTCAATCTATTCTGTCTCTCAAAGCCTGATCTCCAAAGCCCATCACCAACTATGGTATATCAGCTATTCTATCTTCATCCATGACCTGGCAAGGCTCCTCCGTGACAACACAACTGACAAAGCAATGGACTAAGTATGCAAGGTCCAAAGAAGGTATTTTCTCTGTTGAAGGAGTTTGGTTGTGGAACAAGCATTTAGAGGCAAGGCTAAACTGGAATCTGGCCACCGTTAAGGCATGCTTTATGGCCTTCTTTTGGAAGAAGCTTTTAAACTATAGCAAGATTGTATGGGTACATTTAATGCCATAATGCTAGTGAAGGGGAAGAACAGAGGAGCCCATGAAGTACAAGCAAAAATTTAAATTCCATCCTACCTTCAGAGGAAGGAAGAGACAGAATGTCTCTCAAATCTAGGATTGTATTAGTCGGAAGTTTACTTATTCATATAAACCTAACACTGCAAGTTCCTATAGCACAGTTTCAGGTAGATTATAAAAATATGGACTATTTCGTACCACTGTAAGTTACAGTGGTAACATATTTGTATAGTGCCAGAAGGGTGTACAATGCTCTGCAGGCAAATGAGACAAGGTCTCTGATCCAGCAAGACTGAAATCTAATTTATGCTAACCCAATGAAACTGACAGCACATGGTGCGTAATGGGGTAGGCAAGTGGACTGACAGAGTATCTTCGTTTTTCCACAGAGAGCAGACTGCACCTTTTACTTTATGAAAAACACTTGTTTAAGTGTCCTCGGTGTCTTAGGCTGTATTTATTCACCTATTCCTATGAAAACTGGAAAACAAACCATCCTGAAGTGCAAAGAATAATAAAACTAGCCTTCCTGAGGATAGTGTCAGGCACGGTCTCATCCACACTATCCTGTAATTTTTTTTAACATAAACTTCTGCAGATTTATTATGCCCCTGCCAATTGTTATTAGCAAAGAAATGGCTTTCCCAGCTAAGAAGTCAAGCTGGAATCTGCCTCTTCAGAGACAAAGTAGTTGCAGATAACAAAACTATCATGAAAACTATGTCCTTTGAGCAGAATTACACACGAATTAGCAGTTACTATTGCTAGAAGATTTACTCTGCCACAGTTCTTAGATATAGTTAGTTACCATGCTGTCTATTTATATTTTACTAGACAAAAGAGCTCTCTCTAAATATTACCTACCTACATAATGGACAGCCCGCGGGCCATAACTTGAATTACACCAATGCAAATCCTTGCATGGACACAAATCTGCTTAAATCTGGTTATATCACTTTAGCTTGCCCCCGTAACAAGGGCAAGCTTAACTAAATTGGCTTAAATATAATACTTGTAGTCAAAGAGGTTCAACTTTATGTGTAGGCCAAGGGTGCAATCTTGGCTCTATTCAACTAAATGGGAGTTTTGCCATTGACTTCAGACAAGCCAGGATTTCACCTCAGACCTTTAAGACCAGACAGACAGTGAGGAAAATGGGTGGGGGGAGCAGGGAGAGAGATGTAATTAAAAATAGAGAAACTTTAGACAGAGAAATTTATAACTTTACAGCTTTATAATCTGAAAAGCCACATTGTCAACAAAGTTTGGGTCCAGACTATTTGGCATGAAATGTCACTCAAATTTTTCAATTAAATGTTAAATGAAGCAGCCATAATAGCTACCATATTGCTTCTTCTAGAAGGACCATTAAAATACATTGTGCTTGTTTACTGAAAAGCCAGATGGACTGTGCTCCTCCTGCTGGCTGAATAGTGAATGGTTCCCAGAGCTATAATCTATATACCAGGGGTTCTCAACTTTTTTCTTTCTGAGACCCCCCCCCCCCCCCCAACATGCTACAACAACTGTTTTTCTGTATATAAAACCCAGGGCTGGTTTTAGAGGGTAGCAAGCTGGGCAATTGCCTGGGGCCCAATTGCTCAGGCTTCGGCTGCAGCTCCGGGGGTTTCAGCCCCACGCGTTGGGGCTTTGGCTTTCTGCCCTGGGCCCCAGCGAGTCTAACGCTGGCCCTGCTTGGGGCCCCCCCCGAAACCTGCTCATGGCTCCCCAGGGGGCCCCGGACCCCTGGTTGATAACCACTGCTATAGACCATATAGCCTGCCAACACACTTGTATGTGCAAACAGATTTGTGCCCCCAAAAAGAACCTTGGGGAAAAAATACAGTTCAGAGAAGAGTAAAAAACAAACAAGCCAATGTACTGTCTGGTTTAGGCCCCCACATATTATTTACTACTGTATTACAGCAGCATTTACAGGGCCCAACTGAGATCAAGACCACTACCCCATTTACATACAGTACCTCCCCTGAAGAGCATGCAATCTAAACAAACAAAAAAATATTGTTTAAGTGTTTTCCCCATAGAGAATCTCTCTAAACTTATGTTGCCAACAGATTTGTTTGAAATATCCCCTTTTCAATGTAGCTCGTGTGTGAATGACAGCATGTTCACAAGCACATGGGTTGCAAAAACCCTAAAAGCACTCTCTGCTCTGTGCATGCCTAAACAGACAAGAGAAGGAACAAGCAGAGAGCTCCTCACCCATCTGACTGTGGTTCATTTGAAGGTTGATTTGTTATAGCACAAGACTAAGTTTGGTTTTCTGTATTCCTTTCGTCGTCCCCCCCGCCAATGAAAATAGCTTTCCATGACCCTTTTTAACTTTTATCCCATTATTCCTATACCTCTTAAGCCCATGCCTTTCTTTTACTTTTTTTTTTAAGCAAGACTAATTGAAGCGTGATATGTTTATTTTCTCTTATGAAGTTACTGTAAAAAGGGCAACGCCAGCACTTTTAGTGAAAATAAACTGTAACGGTTCTGCAGCCTGCAATGCACAGGAGGTCAAACTAGATGATCACGATGGTCCCTTCTGACCTTAACATCTATGAGTCTATGAGAATATGCGAATTTTAGAAGTTATTGGCAATTTTTTTAGAAGTAGATTGAAGTATTATATTTTAAAAATAAAATTGCAAGTTTCCCTTAAATGCCAAAAAATATTACAGCAACCAGCAACTAACTTATCCTAAAGCATGACTGTTCCAAGCAAAATTGGTGTCAGCACTTAGCTTTTTTCTATAATGCCAATGACTATAAAGTAGTCCAGTAACTCATACTGTAGGTACACTCCACCATTCATTTAGTACCATTTTCAAAAGGGCTATAACTTCAAAATTATATGAGCAAAAACTGAAGTATTCATGTAAGTTGCACTTCCGTGAAGTTTTAGGCATCCAGATATTCAATTTGCATGTGCAAAAATGTAAGCATGAAAAACTGCTCATACAAGAATTTGATAGCTCAGACTGTCTCGTTTTGAAAATCTGACCCAGAGATGACACTCCTTTTTATGTCCCACCACACACTTTGTTTTACCTATTTCATATCTAATACACAGAGACAATAATCCACAAGAAAAACAGAATTTTGTCCTTTTGAATTTAAAGTGGACTTTGGTACAGAATTTTAAAATCAGATCCTAGCAATAGTTAACAAAACTTGGCAAGCACAACCACATTTAATACAACACAGCAATCTGTCATAGGCTCAAGTGTAGAGACAGCTTTCTGATTCTATTTAATTTAAAAGTCAAGTCCTTAAGTGGCTGAATAAAGACTTTAACAGCTTTCAGAAATAATTCAGAGTCTGTAAGTAGTAGAAACACTATTCTCCTTACATGATGCCTCAAGCTTTATGATTAAAGAGAATCAAGGCCAAGGCCAATCAGAAGGGACAGAGGAACAGTACAATATTAAAGTTCACTGAGTGCTTGTTGATAAAGGTGCCAGAGTAACAGCATTGAAGACAGTCCACATATAAAATACAGGCAGCGGTGGTACTGAATCTCTCATTCCTCACCTAGGAACCTCAAAGGTAATAGATGATTGCTTGCATTAGATGTATACTCAGCTTTTGGAATATGGATCCAGGTGGTCAACAGAAATGCAAAATAAAGTGGTTCATTTTGCAATGTCAGACTAATAGGAACTGGACTTCAGCCACTTACTCATTTCACAAAAGCCAGTCAAGAGCCATTAAGTGTGTAACCAGATTTCTTGCTGAAGGAAATAACCACCGTTAGGGACCAGGGTCAAAACTTTATCTTTAGCCACCCAAGTTCAGATACCTAGAGCCATATTTGAACACAATCGAAAACTACAATCAAATATAGCCCACACAGAGCCTCCTTAGTCAGGGAAGGGAGAAGAGCAGAAGACTCAGCCTACAGAATTTCCCCATGCAGACCTAATTTACCAGGGAGGTGCTGAAATGGCATGGGGTGTTGGTTCTGTCCAAGCAAAGAAAATGCAAATACCGAGCAGATGATACCGAGCAGATGATCACAAACCATGACACCACAACACTATCTTTGTACATCATCATTAGTAATAGTGATTTTATTTAAATATGACATCTGCAATGCCCAACAGTGTCTGTACCAGAAAAAAGAGCAATAGAAAAATAATAGGAGTTACGAGCTCAGAAAAGGTCACCAGATACAGAGGCATATCTGATCTCCCTTCCCAGCCAGAGTGCCAGTTGGTTCATGGATGGTTACCTGCAAGAGGGGGATCTACGCTCCACTTCTTTCTGTATTCTGGAAATGTCTTGTGCCAATAGGCCTCTGAGGTTTAATTGTGATCTCCAGAAGAACAAGCAGCTTGGACAGAAGATGATGAGGCTGCACTTGGAATCTCAATTGTCTCTAAGACTACATACGGTCCTTGCACAAAATATCTACAGCCAAGCCAAGAGATTTTACCTGCCTTCAGCAACAGACATTATGAAGAACCATGCACATGAATTCTTTAGGATATCAGACATTCAAGACTACCTCTTTGCTCCTCATTCTGATTAGTATCTACACTCACATACCATCCTTCTGTCACATCAGATCTCTCTGCCAGCCAACCTAATAGTGGAGGGTATAGGAATTTCAGCCTGGGAGAGTCCCACATTACTAGTAGTCTATTCTCTTCCTACTTTTAAGTGACAACTCAATGTTTCCTAAGGTATTTATTAATTTGACCTCACATGGCCCATGATGGGGGTGTCTAACTCCCATCCAGAGAAAAGACCAGGTGCTTGCTATGAGCGTAGGGATTTGCAGAGTAAAGAGGCTAAGCCAGTTTGTGTTCCTATCAACATACCACACAAAGACGTGCAAAAGAGTTGGGCCTGGATTCTGGCAGCAAAAATTGGGAAGGCTCTGTTGGGAAACAGCTGGAGCTAAACTCACTAAAATAAGGAGGAAAGGGTGATAGAGTTGGTTCTCTTCCATTCTGCAACCAGGATAAGATGAGCTAGGCTTCTGCCTTTCTTATACTTTTGTCTCCATTTTGGCTAAGAGACTCCTGCTTTATTTGTGTTTGAGCCTTGAGGCAGGACATACACATCTTTTCGTTTTTATAAGTAAAAATATATAAAGAGTTTAGACCCTTTCCAGCTGCATGTCGCAGCCCCAAGCACTCCTACCCTTTTTCTTAGAGCAAACCACTCCCCTCCAACAATTTCAGTCATTTTGAATTGTATGCAGGTGATTTTTTGATATGCAGCATGTATTTCACATTTTCAACTACTCTGTACAGTGCTTCTGAGAATCTTCGCCATGGAGAGGAAGTGATTCACAAGCACATTTAAAAATAATGATTCCTGCAGATTAATTAAATGCAGATTGAACTCTTTTTAAGTAGGTTTTGTTTTTGAGCCCTGTGTTATCAGACACTTCTCTCTTTAGTGACATGAAAGCCAGCTGATGCTCTTGAAAAGTCGTTGTGGAGGAAAAGACTAGGACGACAGACACATTTATTCATTCCTAGTCATACAACTTAGAGGCATGCACTAATTAAAGTTCTGGTACATGTATCTTCATGGTTCATATATCAAATGAACAAAGGTTTTTGAAAAAAAAAAAGCCTACAAACTTTTTAGTTTAATGGATAAAAATAGTTAACCCCAAAGAAAAAAAAAATTTCTACACACACACTCTTTCTTAGAAGTTGAACTAGCCATAGACATATTTTATTTTCTTTACCTATTTCTTAAGTTTTAGGCTGTTATAAAAATTGTTAATAATAAATAAGGTTTGTTTAACATAGCTCAAGGGCAAATAAACTTCGACACAGCGAGTGCTGCACTGGCAACTCATCAGGTTTCATGCCTGATCTGTAGAGTTCATGCCATCAAATAAACACACAATATTGGTTTGTACTTGCATCTTTGTTAACAGACTGACAGAAATGCCTGTTTGAGTTCCACAGCAATAAAACCTGCAGTTGATCAGTTTTTGCCTGATTTTGAAGTTACAGGACAAAGAAAGCCAGAGGCCATATTTGGTCCTCTGACTGCACTTTGAACAACTCAGCTGGCACATCATGGTGCCAGATTGAAGTGCATAGGGACACAGGATAGGACTTCATTCTACACACCTCTCTGATGAAGTAAGTTTTTACTATTTACTTCTACTGGGCACTGCAGAGCCCAGACATCGAGGGGAGAGTGAGCTCATGCTCAAGCTTTCTGGCTAATGCATCTGAATTGTTAGCTACATACCAATTACTGTTTCTGTTGGTTATGCACAAACCAAAGAAAGCAAGCAGGGCTTTTAGCTCCCTGAGTATGCAGGGCTGAAAGTTATGGAAGCCATATTTTTATTTGTGGACGGAGTAAGTCTATTATGAAGTCCTTTAGGGAAATTAAACATGGACTCCTCCCATGTTCATTTTCAACGTTGTTTTTTCTGCATTTTAAAATTGTACATTAGATTGTCAAAAAGCATCATCTGAAAATAAAGTTCACTAGATGCTTCCATTCAAGACTGAAACCTGTCTCAATGGAGCAATTAAAAATTCCTGCTGCAAAAATGGGAAACTACTGTTACGAAACTGAAGGTGTTGCAAAAGTTTGCCATTAATTTTTCACGGAGTTAACGCAAAAATATGTCCTAGGAAAGCGCTGCAGTCAGAAAGATCAGATCCTTGCAGGACCCTAATCTTACTAATATAAATCCAGTGTGTATGGAAACAATAAACCAAAGCTTTTCCATCCAAATGTTATATACAGTATGTTTTGGGAAATTGGCTGATGACCTGTTTCCATATACTTCCAAGAAAAAGATCACATTAACAGAATGCTTTTCAGAACAGTGTCTGGAAAGGGATATATAAAATTAAGAAAAGGATATACGTGACTACTGTTCCCTGGATATACATAAAGGAGAGATATACATCTTTTTAAAGTTACTAGTTGATCATCCTGAAGCAGTAAGGACAGAAAGTGAAGAGTGTACATTTAAGAGTGAAATATGCCAGTAAGAAACAGATATTGGTATACCTAAAGAATTACAGTATATTTCAAATAGCTTATAGTCTGCTAAGAAAGACTACAAGCTTTACATGAGAAAGAGTGATTGCTTCACTTCACTCCTCTACTGAGAACAGTCAATGTTTTCGTTTTTTCCCCCCCCTGCATCATTCTGCTCACTGGCTTCTAAGTACTCTGCTGTCAGAGTAAGGGCAATGAAGATTTATTCTTCATGCTCACAATTTATTATAAAATAAGACAGTTTTCTTGAAAATAAAATAAAAGTTATCTGAACTCACTTCTCCTGTAACATAGAAGTCATTTTTCTGATAGTCTGGAAATAGCTGGAAAAACTGGATGAGTGCACTGAAATATAAATATAAGTATAAATCAGGATTACATGGAAATTAATCTCACCCCAATTAGCAACATATTTTAAAGTAAATTTACTCCAAATACACAGCAGAATCCCATATGGAGTTTTATAGGACATGTCTGTTAGGATTAATACTCTCTCCATTAGAAAACTCGTATCACTGGGGTCTATAGTTTTTTTGTTTTGTTTTGAAACCTACTCTTCCTTTAATGAGCATGTCAAATATATAGTTCTGGACTGAGTAATCTTCTGCCCCAGTGTACACAGATTTTCTGGAAAATGCAGCAGATTTAGAGATCACAGGTCATAGCATTTTTAAATTGACCCTTAGAGAATAAAAGTTTTTGAAACACCATGATATTTAGAAATTCCTGAATCACTTGAGAGAAGTTTGCATAATGTCCACCCACGCATTAAAATTTAACTAACTTTTGTTTTCTTACTTCAATCTCAGTGGAACTGCATTTTGACAGTTTATGGTTTATAGCTTCACCAGTAGACTGTCGAAGGAAACAAAGCTGTCCTTTCAAAGAAGGCAGAAAGAGGAAACTGCAACTGCCTTTGACTTATGACCAAGCTAAGAAGGGTGCTGCTTCTCTCTGAAGCGGTGCCACAGAATAACCTACAGACACCACTGTGATCATAACTGGCTACCCAACACTTTGAAGGTACAAGGGTCCATTACTAAGATTATAAGAGTGAGTCAAGTTGCTAACACAGTAGGCAACCACCAGCAAACAACAACAAAACCAAAAAAAAAAAATAAAAAGAGAGGGTTGAGGTTTCACAGGCCGCTAAAAAATTGACCACTACTGCTCAATTTCCTGTAACTAGACCCAAATTTCTGATGAAGATTTTAGACTTTCCTTCCTTTCCCTCGCCTCTGAATTGCAGGAAAGGGGGTGGGATGCATGAAAAATGTGAAACCTATAAAAGGACAGCTGAAATCAGTTTTCTGCACTACCCTTTGATTAGCTGTTCTTCAGCTTGGAAAGCCTGAAGCTAAAAGAACTAAAAAACAGCTATAAACAATGGACGCTTTGAATTAGCTTCTCTTTATACATGTCATGCAAAAGGAGATGGGTCTCAAGCCTGCAGTAAATAGCCACATAGAAGGTCAGCTGGAATTTGTAACAAAGTCCTAGAGAAAAAGCTAACAACAAAAAGCAGTTCCAAAACTTATGAAATTACTTTTTGAATTCCATATTAAAGCCAAGATGCCTGCCAGTTAAACAAGTAAAATATTTACTATGGGAGTAACACAAACTAAAAGGTAAGTCAGTTTGAACATTTATTGCTTCAGAGGAAAAGAGCTAAGGCTCCATCATGCCAGGTGCTAAGCACTCTGGCCCAACTCAGCAGAGCACTTCAGCCTGGAACAGCAAAGCGTGTGCTTAAGTGCTTAGCACCCAATAGGATCACATTCTAATGCTTTGGAATACAGACAGACATGCATCCCCCAACAGATTCTGTGGTAAAGCAAATATTCCTAATACAAGGTATTCAGTGTAGCCTTCTGCCCTTCTAAAGATTCTGTTTTGCAAAAGGACCAGTGGAAGAGGAGCATTAAATTTTTAGTCTATAAAAACCAAACAAAAACTTCTCAGCAATAGGTCCTTCTCAACAGGGACAGGCCACCCATTTTGAATAAATTATTAAGATTGTCAAGCCCTGTTCCAGCACTGACATTTGGAAACCAGCAATTTGAAGGGAGGCCACTTTAAAGAGCGTGAATAGAAATCAAGGAAACATTTAACCAAAAGTGGCTATAGAAAGTATAGGGAGCAAAGGAATGGAGCAAGACATGAAGAACAAATAAAGCTCAAGAAACTCTGTTATGGCCCCTATTTCCTGCATCCAGGCATTACAAGGATCAGGACAAGATACAGAAGCATACTCAGGCTGGCAATTTTTCCTCTTCTTTTTGAGTCCCCATCCCGCCCCCTCTGCTAATTTCTCCTTAAGTGCTTGTTTTTTTATTTTATTTTGTTAAACATACTGGTTACTGAAACAAATAAATGCGTGCACTTAAAGTTCATTCCTGCCCTAGAGAGGTTACTGAATGCAGCAATATTCCCAGTGTGCGCTCAAATTGGGAATCTCTCTAGAACTAGAATGAACTGTAAGTGTATCCACTACATATGAGCCTAATGTCATGCAAAAATTCCTTGAAATAAAAAGGAAGAAAACAATTCTTTTCTGTAAATGCTAATCAAAATGGGTTTAGAAGCTGGCCAGAAGATGTCAGCAGTGCTAGCTTTGGGGAAATAAAGATGAACAGAAATGAACACAAAGAAAGAAATGGAGTAAGGTGGCACAATTTACCTGTATAAATCTCTTCCTACATCATCTTGGTTTACTGCATATCCAGTATCATCAGTAAAACTAAAGCCAGTCCCAACCTGATAATGAAATGAAAAATCATGGGATTTGAGAACAAAATTGCTTCTAGCTCCTTAACACTTTTTTTTGCCATGTGGCAAAATAAGATTCTGTCAAGCATATGGTTTCTCTCAATTAAAAAACTGTAAATTAGGTTAAAACTTATTAGGGCATTTAAAAGGTAAGAAACTTTATTTTTGCACTCAAGATAGACTACATTCTCTGCTCTGTTTTCTGAGGTGGTGATCTCACCAAAGGGTGAAAAATAAAACCAAACTTTCATCTTGGCAAGTAAGAGAAGAGTGGAATATATCCTTGATACTTTTATAAAAAACAAAATTGCTTTTAAGTACACATTGTTAGTAATTTGTAAATCACAGTCTATACTACACCCCATCACACTGTAGAATGAAGAGAGTCTTCCAGTAGCACACAAAGTGATGCGACTAGCATTTGTCACATGTAGTTCTGTCTTTCTTCTTCTACATGTCTAAAGAATTGATTACCACAAAAAAGGTTTAAAAATGGACCTTGAAAGCAGAATTATCAAGGCAACATTTTAGAAATACTGTATACATAGTTAACTTTACAATATAAAATAGACAATATACCTACCACACACACTTTCATATTTTGTACTTACTGGATTGTCAATGTAAAGCATGGAAAATTTAGATGTCCAAGGAAACTTCCGTTTATACACTATTAATAGAAAAGGCATTGCTGTCAGTCATAAAAACGTAAGTTATATAATCAAGGAGTTATGCTATGAAAAGGACTAGTAAATAGCAATACAAAGTTCTCACCATTCATCTCCATCCCAGATAAAGATAAAGATGTTCCTATAACTCATTTCAATGGCACAGGTTGGAAACAGCCATAATACTGGATATTAATATGTCTGTGAAAAAACTAAACAAGCTACTGTATTTTGCCAGTATATTCTATATTATAGATGGGGCTGGTAGCACCACCTATTATTAAGGTTGCCTGACACTTCCCCATTATAAGTCCATGTTTTCAGTTGCTTATAACTTTGCCAGAAGAACCATTCTGGCTGAAATTTTCATGCCCTGTGTTTGCCTGGGGCTGATGACAGAAAAGATCGATTAAAAAAAACTCGGTCTAAAGTTTCAGACAAAACTGATTCAGTTGTTTCCGAGAATGAGGCTAGGAAAAAATACATGGTTTTGTCCATGTTAAAGAATAGGTTGTCCGAATTTTTTGACTGGCTCTAGCACCCACATGCTTTGGAATGGGAACTTGAAATTTGGCAGGAAGTGGCGAGTGTGTCAGGGATGTGCCTTTTGTCATCTCTGTGAAAATTTGCCTGTTAAAAAAAAACACACACACACAACGCAACTCACACATGCTTAGTAGATTTGAGCAGCTAAGACATGCTCAAAGCTCTCACAGCTCCTAGAGCTGACCAGATTGCACGTGCACCATCCCCACAGAGCAACTGAGCATGCTCCCGCACAGGGATACAGGGGTGAAGCTGGACTTTCACTTTAGCGACTGCTGTGGACCAGGCACTGGAACTGAGAGCATGTAGCCTGTCTTTCCTGTGTTCTTGGTGACCTCCCTACTGGTACCCAAGCAGCAAGGAGGAGGCTCGGTCCGATCTGAATGTGGAGGCGGCAAAAACCAAACCAGGAGAAGGGAAAGACATAGACTGGGAAAAGAAGACTGGTAAGACTGGGACTGGAGAGGGAGAGAGAAACTGAGTGCCATTTAGTCTGGGACTGGGAGATGGGGGGCAAAGGAGGAGGAATCTGGGAGCCAGTTGCCTTAAGGGGAAGAGACAGATCTTACAAGGAGCTGGAGTGTGGCAGGGAGAACTAGGATGGGCTTGGCAAAGAGCAGGGCCGGCTCTAGGTTTTTTGCCGCCCCAAGCAAAAACAAAAAACAAAAACCTCCGGGAGCGCAACTGCCGAAACAAAACAAAAAAAAGTGGTGTCCGGAATGCCACCCCTGAAATTGTGCCGCCCCAAGCACGTGCTTGGTTTGCTGGTGCCTAGAGCCGGCCCTGGCAAAGAGACTGAGAAGAAGAAACTAGGAAGAGGGACAGG